CTTCCTGTTAAAAGGGAGTTTTTCCTCTCCACTTTCAAAAAGTGCATTTAGATTACATGTGTTGTGAATTGCACTATATAAACTGAATTGAAACTGAATAATGTAATGCTTGCAAACACACATAAGAGATGTCTTTATATTTTTTCTTATCTTGACATTTTCTTGCATTTTTTTAACCTTATCCAGTTTAACTGAAAAGAGATTAAAAATATAATTCATTAAACATATAAATAGATGAAAATATTTCTATAATGAAGGGCCAGGAAATAAACACGGGAACTTGAAATATTTCCGATATACTAGATTTTATTTTATTTCGCTTTTACTTTGAAAGGCTTTGAATAAACTTCCGGTTCTGACAGTGCTGGGCTAAAATGAAGGGTCCTCACAGTGCGGGTCTGCAGCTACACTCTTTTTAACAAATCACGGGTTCTGGTCATCGATTGTGTTCAGATTTAATGAAGGCAATCTATGTAATAAATATAAAGACAGTTTAACCTTTCCACAGAGTTTGGAGCAACATTTTGATGCGTAATGATCAAATCATCAGTTCTAGTTTTATTATTAGAAGCACATCTGGGAAACAGCTAAGCAGCATATGAGGGTTCAGGGTAATTAACCTCAAGGGAATAACGATTAAGGCTCCCACTGTGGGAAGCCACTGCACATTATTTTGACTATTTTAACATTAAGTATTTTTCTCCTGCCCAGCTTTATTTATACTGGATCTGCTGCTACTCACTGGTTGAGGAAGGCGAACAGGTATCTCATGATGATGAGGGTTTTACTTGGAAGGCTTTGCAGACCCTTCTTAATGTGAACTGCTCGCTCCTGGAGACTCTCCATTGCTGGAAGAAAAAAAAATAAAAATGATAAAAACAAACACTTCAGTGATCTATAAGAGATTATAGTATGAGATACTCACAGACACAGGATATGAGGTCATGGAAGACTTCTTTGGGGAAGAGTGCGTGATCCAGGCCTCTGAAGTAGAGCTTCAGCACTCCAGCAATAGAGTCCATGTCATGGTCATTCTGGTCCCCAGCCAGCGGGTCCTCGCCTATATGTGAAGGAAGGAGTGACGAAGAGACGGGTGTAACATATCAAACAAAAACGGCTTTTTTAATGACATATCCTTCTGGATCGGACTGTTACCTCTCTCAAAGGCATTCTTGATGTCGTTGACCTCCACCTGAGATCCAGACACTCTGAAGATGCCCTCATGCTGCAGACCTACACAAAAGCACACATAAACATTCTTAGATGTTCTGTCCTGGAGTGGACTGGTTTCCAGATTTAGGGATTTTTAAGCTATAGTGGAGGATGTTCTTTTTCTGGGAGGATCATCAAAATAAGTAGTCCTCCTAATTGTCAGTCATTCTGGTGATATTAATACGTAAGGCCCTCCTACGTGCTCGACCCCATTTTCACTTACCGGTGGTGAGTCTGACATAGTGAAAAATTGCAAATCTTCTTTTGGAAAGTAAGCTTGTATGAGCGATGCAATTGGACAGCAACTTTTGAACAGGGCATGTACGAGGACAAATGGGCTCCTGCACGCTCTCATGCGCCTTTGATAGGCGTTCCCTCTCAGTAGTGGGTACAGGGTTGTGCATGTGCATATTTTGTTTAAGCGGAGAGGGCGGGTTTGAAAACCCAGGAAATAGGACTTTTTCATGTTAAAAAATTTGTGTTGGTGTTGGCCTTCCTTTAAAACCTCTCCCCCAAAGCGCCTTCTGGATTTACGTCATTCATGGTGGGATGCTAACACAGGGTTTATACAGGAAGGATTAACTCTTATTTAATGCTTTTTAATGCTCTTTTAATGTACTTAGAAAGAATTTTTATGCCATCAACACTTACCCATGACTGGCATAT